CAACCATGTCTGATACAATTCTTTCTTTTTTTGTGGGATTGGGAAAACTATGTAGACTTTTGTCATAACCTTGCCTGGCAGAACAACCGTACGCTTGACAAGACATTTTGACACTGAATAACCGTCTACGGTAATTCCCAATTGATGATGGGAGTTTTTAACGCACGGTCGGTAAATCCCCGATTCTTTTTGTTCTTTGTGGTTTATAGATATCACGTGACTTTTTAGATCGAACATGCCGACAAGATGGCGATATGTCGAGAACTGATAGTGAATTTCAAAAATGGATTTTGATCTCTTTACATAGAGAATAAAAGTTTTTTATTTATGAACAAGTGGTTTTTTATGCTTAAAGAACAAAATATCAATTTTTCATTTTTTGGCGGAGTTTCCCTTTAATCCTTCATCTCAGATATTAAACAAAATCTAATCTGGACATATTTGCAAAAAGAGTAAAAACTGTCACAAAGAATTCTAACTACTTATTCTTAAAAAAATACACAGAACTCTAAATAATAAAAATAAATTTGATATCTTGAACTTTTAACATAAAAGTAGATCTATATGATTTTTATCTAAGGGAGATAATTATCATAGAAATATTGCCAGTGAAAAGTGTTTCACTCTTCAGTCGTGATGCATACATGAAAAGCACACTATGTTGCATAGTAAATGTGCTTATATATTGAAGACTTTTATTTGTATTAAAGTCTTATTAGAATATCTGTTGTGATATTTGTATACAGTATTGTATTTTATCATACATTCAGCGTTGAAATGCCTATTTGCCTAAATGACTGGAATTAGACATACCAAATTGTTCTAGTTCACTGTTATAGCTAAGTCAAGTTCACTGGATTCAAAATCTGGAATTATAATAACATCATGACCTTATTGACGTCACTATATGTGCATGATCAGGACATACCCATATCAATGCCAGTTTATGAAATAACAATGTATAAACCATACAGTACCACTGTGTAGCAACACCACCCCACATAGGTACCCATGAGGCAAAGAAACAAAGATAGCAAAAAGTATCTATTCTATTCCCTGTACAGTAAAAACCATTCCCAAACAATTTATCCGCCTTATTTACATGAATTTCTTTGTGAAAACAAAAGTTTATTTCGAAATAGTGTTTTTTAACCTTAGATATGATGTAACTTTGATCTAAAAAACGTCAAATGAATAGTTGAAGGATAAATGTGTTTTTAACAAATTTGAACTTGTCACATGCTTCTTTGAACAGGTACCTACTGGTCTGATTCTGACAATTTGAAGAATGACAAAGCCAATTAAAGATCATGGTTAGCTCTAAATAGTAGTTACATTACCTGTATTAGGAATCAGGAAAATCAGGAATAAGAAAACTTAGCAAAACGTAGAATATAATCAAAATAAGATGAATTTGACCTTACCTGACTTCACATTTGTTTTTTCCACCGCTTCGGGGGTACCTATATCCGGTGGTGATGCTAAACTGCGGTTACTTTCTTCGTTTTTAGCTCACCTGGTCCAAAGGGCCAAGTGAGTTTTTCTCATCACTTGGCGTCCGTCGTCCCTAAACTTTTACAAAAATCTTCTCTGAAACTACTGGGCCAAATTTAACCAAACTTGGCCACAGTCATCATTAGGGTATCTAGTTTAAAAAATGAGTCCGGTGACCCAGCAAACCTATCAAGATGGCCGCCATGGCTAAAAATAGAACATAGGGGTAAAATGTAGATTTTGGCTTATATCTCTGAAACCAAAGCATTGAGAGCAAATCTGACATGGGGTAAAAATGTTTATCAGGTTATCTATCTAAAAATTTTCAGATGAATCGGACAACCCGTTGTTAGGTTGCTGCCCCTGAATTAGTAATTTTATGGAAATTTTGCCGTATTTGGTTATTATCTTGAATATTATTATAGATAGAGATAAACTGTAAACAGCAATAATGTTCAGCAAAGTAAGTTCTACAAATAAGTCAAATGACCAAAATTGTCAGTTGACCCCTTAAGGAGTTATTGCCCTTTTATAGTAAATTTTTAACAATTTTTCGTAAATTTTTGTTATCTTTTACAAAAATCATCTCCTCTGAAACTACTAAGATGAATTTAACCAAAGTTGTAAACAATCATCATTAGCGTATATAGTTTAAAAAATGAGTCTGATGACCCCGCCCACAAACCAAGATGGCCGACATGGCAAATAATAGTACATAGGGTAAAATGCAGTTTTTGGCTCATATATCTAAACCCAAAGCATTTTGAGCAAATCTTTCAAAAACAAAATTGTTCATTAGGTCAAGATCTATCTGCCCTTAAATTTTCAGACCATTCAGGCAACCCGTTGTTGGGTTGCTGCCCCTGAATTGGTAATTTTTAGAAATTTTTTCAGCTTTTGGTTATTATCTTGAATATTATTATAGATAGAGATAAACTATAAACAGTAATAATGTACAGCAAAGTAAGACCTACAAATAAGTCAACATGACCAAAATGGTCAATTGACCCCTTAAGGAGTTATTGCCCTTTATAATCAATTTTTAACAATTTTCATAAATTTTGTAAATTTTTACAAAATAATTTCCACTGAAACTACTGGGCCAAGTTCATTATAGATAGAGATAATTGTAAGCATCAAGAATATTCAGTAAAGTAAGATCTACAAACACATCACCATCACCAAAACACAATTTTTTCATGAATCCATCTGTGTCCTTTGTTTAATATGCACATAGACCTTGGTGAGCGACACAGGCTCTTTAGAGCCTCTAGTTTATTCCCATTATCAGTGGAAATGCACCAGGGTTATGCAGACATTAAAATGTATGAAATAAAGGCTTCAAGTAATAAAAAAATTATATAAAACTTTAATCTGTGAATACATTGATATAAAAAACTTTAATCTGTGAATACATTGATATAAAACTTTAATCTGTGAATACAATGTATTACAATATTTCTTTCAGTTTGATTTTTAAAGTATAATGATGTGATGTGGTATTTGTATAGCTACTCTATTAATCAACCAATCAATTTTGTGTATTATGTGTTCTCAGTTCTGTCGAATTTGGGCAGGTTGCTATTATTTTTTATGTGGTTTTGTCTCTCCTACATGTTCTGAAGCTTCTGTTGGGCATATCTTAGTCTTAGATACATGATTTTTATGCCCCTGCCATAGCGGAGGGGGCATTTAGTTTTACCCTTGTCCGTCTGTACGTCCTTGCGTACGTGGGTCAGTACGTCCCAAAGTTGGTTTCCGTTTTCAAACTTTAGATTGCCTCAACCAAATGTTATGAAACTTATACACAATGCTTATTACCACAAAATACAGATCAAGTTTGAATTTTGGTTGCGTCATTTCAACCGTTCTAGAGTTATCCCTCTTTAAAAATGGAAAAATTGCTGAATTTTTTGTTTCCATTCTCTCACTTAAGTTAGCCTCAACCAAATGTTATGAAACTTATACACAATGCTTATTACCACAAAATACAGATCAAGTTTGAATTTTGGGGGTGTCACTTTTATTGTTCTAGAGTTATGCCCTTTACAAATGGAAAAATTGCTGAATTTTTCGTTTCCGTTCTCTAACTTAAGTTTGTCTCAACCAAATGTTATGAAACTTATACACAATTGTTATTACCATAAAAACTCAGATCAAGTACAAATTTGGGTAGCGTCACTATTACCGTTTTTCAGTAATGTCCCTTTATAACTTTATATGATAGACAAGCGGGGGCATCATCTGTGTCCCATGGACACATTCCCCATTTATTTTATTAGTTGTTATTGGTTTTGAACTAGCTGTCAGTAACTGTGAGTACTTTTAGATCTCTACTTAGGTGTCTATTTTGTTGTGGGGATGTATAAATACTCTGCCATGTCATATGTTGTGCTCTTATGCCACTGTCCTGGGTAGGGTTTGGCACCCACAAACATGTTTAACCCCACCACATTCTTTATGTGCCTGTCCCAAGACAGGAGCCTGTAATTCAGTGGTTGTCATTTGTTGCTGTATAGATAACTGTTTTTTAGTTCATTGTTTTGTACATAAATCAGGCCGTTAGTTTTATCTTTTAAATTGTTTTACATTTGTCATTTTGGGGCCTTTTATAGCTGACTATGGGGTATGGGGTTTTGCTGATTGTTGAAGTCCATATGGTGACACATAGTTGTTAACTTCTATGCCGTTTGGTCTCTGGTGGGGGGTTGTCTCATTGGCAATCATACCACATCTTCTTATTTTTTTTTTAGATATGCCTATTTTCCTTGACTTCATTTTTATGGTTCAGAGACTGCTTAATAATCATAATTTTTTTATCACACAATTGTTTTCAGCTATTGTGGATTCAATATTATTTGTTGAATACCAATTTTTGTGAATTTCGTGGGTACAGATGGACCATGAATGTAAATGTTCATTGAATGACACATTTTCTATAAGGTTGTATGCAGACATTTTAAAGATGAGACATTTTCACATATATGTGGTTTTAGAGTATTAATTTTCCACAATTTAGCAAACCCTGAAGAAACCTTTGTGATATGGCATCTCAGAGTGAAAATCATAATTGGGTCTCCTTACTTTTAGGCCCATTAAGAATATTGACCCATTTGAAAGGAAGGGTACTGTGGATTCATTATTTTTCGTTGGATACCAATTTTCGTGGAATTCGTGGGTACATGGAAACCACGAATTTAAATGTTCAACGAATTGCAAATTTGCTGTATGATTAAATGGAGAATTTTGGAAAACCACGAAATCAAATATCCACGAAAATGCAAGTTTTCCTCAATCCACGAAAATTGGTACCCACGAAAATAAATGAATCCACAGTATATAAAGAGATCATGACACATTATTTTGCATTTCAGTCCTTGCATCAACACTCAATCGGACATCAGATCCTAGGCTAAAACTTTGAGCTGATATTGTAGACTTTAGAAATTAAAGTTGATTTCCCGACATTTCGTAAATTTAACAAGTATTTTATTTTTCAATTTCAGCATTAGGACCAATGGTTCTTTTTCTAAAACATGTTAAAGCAAGGAATACAATCAGACCAAAGGACTTTGTAGCCAAGATGGAAACTAAACACACAGATTTTGTTGCTGTTAATTTACAAAATGTTTATGAGGCTGGTTTAATTCGAGATGATGCAGCTTTGGACAGGAGCATTACACCGAAAATTTTGTATGAACTTGAATGGGATGTAATGAATGAAAACAAGAAATGTTTGCCACACTTTATTAGATCATGGTTAGTTGTTATTTTGTTTACTGGAATTTTCATAAATTTGATGTATGTAACATTTGTTGGAGGGCAGCTGTCACTGAGTCAGGTAAAAGCCTGGTTATTGTATTGGCTATGTTCTGTAACTGTATATGGATTTGTTCTTCTTCCTATTTTAGCAATTGTAGTTGGACTTGTATTTTTTCTCCTGCAATAAATATGGAAACAAATACAGTATTGTTTTTCTTTTTTAACTGGAGCAATGTTTCTAAAGGTCAATTCAAAATGTATTGGACATTTGGTCTGTAACACAGCATCAAACGAAAAAAAGAATAAAAGGGAGTAGCTCAAAAATGTTAATCGCATCCTGAAATTCACTGCATTATCTGATACTGGCAGCAAGATCAAAGTAGTAACTTTTTGTCGAGCCTGCGACTTTTGTCGCAAAAGCGAGACATAGCGATCCTACATTCCGTCAGCAGCGTCGTCGTCTGCGTCCACAAATATTCACCCTGTGGTTAAAGTTTTTCAAATTTTAATATCTTTCTTAAACTATCCTGGATTTGTACCACACTTGGACAGAAGCTTGTTTATGATCATAAGATAGTATGCAGAAGTAAATTTTGTTAAAAAAAAAATCGTGTTTTCTGTATTTTACTCATAAATGGACTTAGTCTTTCTGCCAGTTAACATTACATTCACTCTGTGGTTAAAGTTTTTGAAATTTTAATAACTTTCTTAAACTATCCTAGATTTGTACCAAACTTGGACAGAAGATTGTTTATAATCATAAGATAGTATCAAGAAGAAAATTTTGTAAAAAAAAATCCTGTTTATCCGTATTTTACTCATATATGGACTTAGTTTTTCTGCCAGTTAACATAACATTTACTCTGTGGTTAAAGTTTTTCAAATTTTAATACTTTTCTTAAACTATCCTGGATTTGTACCACACTTGGACAGAAGCTTGTTTGTGATCATAAGATAGTATTCAAAAGTAAATTTTGTTAAAAAAAAATCCTGTTTATCCGTATTTCACTTATAAATTGACTTAGTTTTTCTGCCAGTTAACATTACATTCACTCTGTGGTTAAAGCTTTCAAAATTTTAATAACTTTCTTAAACTATCCTGGATTTGTACCACACTTGGACAGAAGCTTCTTTATGACCAAAAGCAAGTATCTAGAAGGAAATTTTGTAAAAATTTATTTCCTGTTTTTCCGTATATTACTTATACATGGACTTAGTTTTATTCCAGTGAACATTATGTACAGTTAAAGTTTTTAAAACATTTATTAGATTCATAAACCTTCTTGGATTTTTACCAAACTTGAACAGAACTTCTTACAATCAAAAGATAGTATCTAGAGGAAAAATGTTTAATAATTGTTTCCCCATTGTTGTTGAGCCTGCCACTAACAGCAAAATAGGCGAGATACTGGGTTCCGTGGAACCCTTACAAATTTTTTTAGTAAATAAAGCTTCTTGCTTCAACAAATTGTACAACAGAAAAAAGACAAGAATAGTTTTGTGATTATGTCATTCCTGTCAACTGTCAATCATTATGTGCAAATAAAATCAAATGTCTGTTCAAGCATAATTTTATATCTTATGGTGATAAGGAAGTATCTTGGATTGAAAAGATTGATCAAGATTTATCAAGATTTTTACTGAAATGCAGAAATATTTTTGATTGATTAAAAAAAATAACTCAAAAGGGGAAATAAACCAGATAATTTAGTTTTATAAAAGATGATCAATAAATATTACTATTTTGTCATGTAGCATAAACCATAAGTTTGGTGACCTCTTTTTACTTTCTAAAAAAATTATTAAAAGGACTTTCTGCTAAAATTTCATCATTTTGTTCTCTCTCTATGAATCATATAATAGTGCCTTTTTAGCTCACCTTGCCCAAAAGGGCCAAGTGAGCTTTTCTCATCACTTGGCGTCCGTCGTCTTCGTTAACTTTTAAAAAAATCTTCTCCTCTGAAACTACTGGCCAAACTTGGCCTAAATCATCCTTAGGATATATAGTTAAAAAATGTATCCAAAGACCTGCCCGTGAACCAAGATGGCCACCATGGCTAATAATAGAACATGGGGGTAAAAATCAGTTTTTGGCTTCTATCTCTGAAACTAAAGCATTTAGAGCAAATCTGACAGGGTTAAAAATGTTCATCATGTCAAGATCTATCTGCCCTGAAATTTTTAGACGCATCAGACAACCCGTTTTTGGGTTGCTGCCCCTAAATTGGTAATTTTAAGGAAATTTTGCAGTTTTTGGTTATTATCTTGAATAATATAATAGATAGAGATAAGCTGTAAACAGCAAAGTTGTTCAGCAAAGTAAGATCTACAAATAAGTCAAATGTGACCAAAATTGTCAATTCACCCCATAAAGAGTTATTGCCCTATAAATCAATTTTTCACAATTTTTCGTAAATTTTTGTAAATTTTTGTAATCTTTTACAAAAATCTTCTCCTCTGAAACTACTGAGACAAATTTAACCAAACTTGGCCACAATCATCCTTAGGGTATCTAGTTTAAAAAATGTGTCCGATGACCCCGCCTGTTAACCAACATGGCGGACATGGCTAAAAATAGAACAGAGGTAAAATGCAAGTTTTGTCTATCATTTTGAAAACCGTTATGAATAGAGAAAATCTGGCAAGGCAAAAATGTTCAGAATGTTGAGCTCTACCAACTGTCTATTTACGTCAAAATTGTCAGACAACTTCTTATAGGAGTTATTGCCCTTAAATGACAAATTTTTACCTTTTTTTTTCATTTTTGCCTATTATCTTGAAAACTATAATAGATACAGAGAAACATTAAAGTGCAAAAATGATCAGCAAGACAAGTTCTACAAATAAGTTTTGCATTGTCGAAATCGTCAGCCTACTCCTTATGAGAGTTATTGCCCTTTAATGATGATTTTTACAATGTTTTGCGTTTTTGCCTTATTTCTTAAAAATTATAATAGATAGATAGAAACTTAAATAGGCAAAAATGATCAGCAAGACAAGATCTACAATTAAGACAATGTAGAGGAAATCGTCTGATCTACTAACAAGTCACATTTTGCTGATAAAGGTAGAAGGCTGTCACTCTTTATAGGAGTGACTGCCCAGATCCTTAAATAAGGTTTTTTTTACCCTCTTTTGTGTTTTGAGCAAAAACTAAAGAAGATAGAGAGAAACTAAACAGACTAAATGATCATCAATACAAGATCAACAAAACAGATTTTTCTTATGAATTCTATTCTTGTCTTCAATGTTGGAGAGTGTCCTTTGTTGAATATGCACATAGACCAAGGTGAGCGACACAGGCTCTTCAGAGCCTCTAGTTCATGTTTTTGTCACTGGCACTTCGTTGGATTGACCCCCCTTTTTCTATATACACTGTATATTTTTATTTTTGTGTTTTAATATATTTAGTAAATAATCATTAGTATTTCAAATTATTTAATGTGTTCTTGGTCTTATTGATACAATATAATGGTAACAGTAGTTTATTTATAATGCCCCTCTATCAAGGATCCAATTTCATACAATTTCAGTCAGTTTGAGATGACTTGAAAGTTAGGGTCCTTTTTTCAAACTGTCTAATTCATACTTGGTTCATGGCATCAACAAAATTATATTCACCACATTTTACTTCATGAAATTTCCTTCTGTTTTTCAAAAAACATTTAAGATTTAGTCTGAGGATTTATGGAATGCAACAGTTTAAAATTAAAATGATTTTGTAAATTTCTTGGGAATCAACCCCCCTACTTTCCCTTTTAGAAATAGAAACAGGAAGTTTCAAGATAATCATAGATTACTGCTGATTCCAAATTCATCTAAATAGTTTGTTATTTTATCAAATGGCAGGAAATCATCATATTTTTTAAAATTATTACCTGTAAAAATATTTTAATTTAACTGATAATAGCTTCACTCGTGTTAGTCGGCATGAAATCATTTTGCATCTTACAATTAAGTGTCTGATCATGTGAAGACACTTCCACGCATGCATATTATGTAAGTAAATAAAGCACATAATAGAAAAACAAAGGATATGGGGTATCCATCCATGATCCAAAATCAGTACATGCACAACAAAAAACACACAAAAAGCAAAGGAACAGGGCTTTTAATGCTGTTCTTCATCTCAAAGTCACGGTGAGGCATTAAACACGCAACAAACAAAAAAAGAAAAAACTTGCCTCACTGCAAGTTTAAGACGGCCCCTACCACAGTCACATGTCTGACTCCTGAATATGTCTTTTTCTACATAATTTGATTAAAGTTTTAATTTTAAAATTGGCAATTGTCTTTGCTGAAAAGTTATTAGGTAATGAAGTTTCTTTATAATATTATCAGGTACATATGAGAACAGAGGTAAAAGGTGATTAGCTATCATTAGCCAATATCTCCTGGAGGCATTAATAGGGTAATTAGGAGGGCTCTCCGGATTATCATTCTTTACCTGAGTGCAGTGGAGGACATTTTAGCAAACAAAAAAAATCTGACGTTTTACCAAATAACTTGGACAGGTTCGAAAATCAGTGACGATCAATTATATTTATGCTCCTTTATCACTTGGAAAATTGCATTTTTTTTTAGTTTCAACACTAGCAGTTATATCAATTGCTCTCTAAAAATATTTACATGTATCATTAGCAAGCTTGAGCATTAGTGTCTCTCATACACATTCTTCTTTTATTTGCATAAACCATAGCATTTTTGCCAATTTTATGATTTTTTTGCAAAAACAATGAAAAATAGAGAGAGCAACAAAATGAAACAAAAATGTTTAGCAAAATAAGATCTACAAGTAAGTCAAGATGGCCAAATTGTCACTCTTTATAGGATTTATTGCCCTTAAATGAGGTAGTTAATATAACTTTCAAGATGGAACGCAAGCATTCTCAACTGTCCAAAATTGTCATTTAAAGCAACAAATTTTATACAAATCAAAATTGTCTGCTACATCTGTAGGATGACAACTATTAAGTTTGTGATTTTCGTCCAGGTTAATTCTAGGTAGTTCTCGATAATTTATTTTATTAAAGTGTCAACCATCCATTACAATATCTATATTTATGCACAAAGTCATAAGAACCTAACATTTAGCAAAAGGATGCCAGCCGAAAACGACTTATGAGACACCATCATTAAAACAGACATATTTATTTGTTCAGTGTATGTTCACTGGTGTTAATATGTCTTTTGATTAAGT